CCTCAGTACAATAGATGAAAATCGATAAAATCATACCATGACGTAGTGGATATGCCATGATAGTATGTCATATCCAACCCACACATTGGGACTGTTAAGAAGAAAAGTAACCAATAAATACTAAAAGCATAGCTAGAACTACCAAGCATTAAAAACTTAATGGAGTCAAGCTATGCAGTGTCTTCAGCATTCATGATGTCACACTTGATTCAAGATATGACTGTCCTGTACCCCTTTTTCACTGTAATTGCAGATCAACATGAATCCAACATTCCTTTACCACCTAAGTCCAAAAGAGTACTTGTAGATTTGACCTGTGCTGAACAGGAAAAATGTTCTCGGCAGTTTGGTTTCAGAGTGAAAGCTTTGGACACTGTTTGACTTGTGGACTCACAAACAGAATAAACACTGTAAACACCAAACATTTCATTATTACCTACAGGTGCATTGGAAGATACATCTCCTTCTCTCACAGCACAGAATGGATATCGGTGCCTTCATCCCAAACATTTCAAGGTTGTACATTTACCACTGTACTCTCTTTTTGCTTTTACAGAGACATTTCATTGCCTGAGTCCAGTTCTATGTCCTGGTCAGAGACTGGAGCTTGTCGGATGTGTTGAGAGAAATCCATATTGATTTGTCCTTTGACTTTTCTCCAGGTTAGTGATAGTAGCTTGCTCAATGCTACTCATCAGTTTTCGTATGAGGCTCATTGAGATTTTTGTTGCTTCTGTGAGATGGTGGCTTAAAAGTTGTACTCAGATGATTTTGTGTGATCCAAGGTTTTCCAGAATGTTTGCAAACCACTTAAGTGAAGACATCCACTGACCCTTAAGAAACACTTTGTTAAAAAGAATAAATGTGGCCCTGGAGACACTTACTGAAGGAGGAACTACAACAGAAGCAGGATGCATTCACAAAACTGTACAGGTGTGGAGATCCAAATAAAGGTAGAGTTTAAAAATGGGTGAAGTCAAAGCAAGGGTGGTGTAATTACGGGGGTAGGGAGTGAGGAACTGGTGGAGAGCAGCAGCAGGAAGTGTTCAGCTTGGATTAACAGCAGCTAAACATATCAACCATTTTCATTACACATTATAATATCGGGACAAACTGAAGTGGATCAGAAGAAATAGGCTATTATGTGAGTGTTATGCAGGAGTTACAAATATTGATCACAGCCAGGCTTTTTAAAATGCTGCATTCTTTCTTTAGCTAACTGCATGACTGCCCACAACAGTTTTCTGTTACAGGTAGAAATCATCAGTTTGATATCAAGAGTCGTCATGATTATTTCTGCTGTAGCAGCACAAATTCGTGTGCCACTGTGTACCATGCCAGCTATAGCGTGCTGTACTGACCCAATGGGAAAAGTGCATTTTAAACACATCTTTAAAAGCTACTCCCCACACCAGAATTAATCTTTCAATTTAGTATACTGACTGATATTGCAAACCTTAAGAACACATCACTGACTAAACCTATTCATGGATGTTCTTACCGATTGCAGAGTCTTAAAGCGTATTGTAGGCAACCACAGCCGCCAAATGTTTGGAGATTACATGCTTGTTTTTTCTTTTTCTCTTTATTACTTTAACTACACATAATTGGACTTTCTGTCCCTCAAAAATTTATTTTCGCTATGTCCTTTTGCTTTAATCACCAAATTCAAGTCTCTCATTAGTAGTATTTATTAGCACTGGTTTTGCCAGCTTTGTTTCATTTAAGTATCACTGAAAGGGTCTTAATAAGTATTGAATTTGGCCTTGTGAGACCTGCAGATATAGTGTTCAATGTTCTTCAATGTTCTCTCCCATTTTCTCCCCTGCTTACTCTCTTTGTCACTATTTCTCTAATCTCCCCACTTCCTCTTTGTCTCCCTATCTACCTCTTTTTTTTTATTCTTGTTCCACTGATCTGCCCTTCTTACATTTCCATTGGACTGGGTTTGGCTCTTAGGCACACATTCAGGCAGCTGAATACATGTATTACAGTTATAAGACACACATTATCTACACACAAAATGTAGATCCTTGCCTGAAATCCCGGTTTTATATTTACTTTATCTATATACGAAGAATTCATGTTCATATTGCTGATTTATAACCCTTTGGGGGGCTTATTTCAGTCACTATTTCTCAAAATAAGTTACCTGTAATGTGTCTGGGCTTGTTTGTGTCTCTGTGTGAGCATCTACACATGTGCCTGTTCACCTGTTGCCCCTATAGAAGATTTATGAATGGAATCTCAGGCCTATGGGCATTAATAGACCTCTGCTTGCGGATAATTAGTCATATTTCAGGCATACTTGGAAAGAACCTGAAATCTGCACGTTTGAATCTATTTAATTATGATTGTGATGTAGTTTAACCCAAAATATAATGATGATGATGATAATGGCAGTTGTAGAGGTGTTTTCACAATAAACACAAACTTAATTTTCTATCTCTCTCAAGTGGTTCCATCGACTTTAGATGTAATCATGCTGTCTCTACAATTTGCTTTGAGTTCGGTCTAAACACCCCCTATTGATGAATATTTTGAGGTTTTGGACCAAGAGATTTAATGACCACCATGGACTCAAAATCGTGATGGGCTTTTTAAACTGTTTTATGGTGTTCAAAAGATCAAGTTATGGCAGAATGATCAGTTCTGAAAATAATTGTTGCAGCTCACGTTAAAGTCAATGACAAGATGATAATGAGGAGGAAGAGGAGAAAGTTGATCGAAACCGTGATGGTAATGATGAAGGCGGGGCGGGGAGGATTATGATGTGATGGTCATAAATGAAGCGTTGATTTAGATACTGGTGATGATGATGTTGGTGATGATGACTACAGTGACAGCAGAAATTATGAAGCAAATGGTTGTGAAGCTGTTGATGGCAATAATAACTTGAGATGGGCGCCGATGAAGAAGGTGGTGATGAGGAAGCCGATGAGAAGGAAGAAGAGAAGGACAATGCCAGCAGTGAAAGCAATTTTAATGATGATGATGACGATAAAAGGGGTGATGAAGATAACAGTGTGATGGTGATAAATATATCTTGATATTTTGACATTGATAGTGATGATGAGGATGATGATGATGATGATGGTGATGACAGTAATTAAGATGGAGAATGTGGTTCTGGTGGTGTCAGTGATGACATGGATAACAATGAGAAGGATGATTGTGAGAAAGGTGAGAAAAAAGAAAAAAAAAGAAACAATCAGGATGATGATGATGATGATGATGATGATGATGATAAAGATGGTGATGGTGATGTTTCTGCTGATGGAAATGACAACAGAAAAAGAGCAGGGATCAGTGTTGTTAAAAAAACATGTTAATGAAGATCAGTGTATTTATTCACTCTGTCCTGTCCTAATATTTCCTATGAGACCAATAAAACTTGATGCTCCTTCCAACAGCTTGCAGCTCTGCTCTGGCCTCCACTAACCCGGCACGGCACTGCATGGCCAAACGAGTCAAGCACGCACCATCACAACGAAATGCGTATAAGAATTCATCCAACTTGCGGAGCCACTGGGAGGCAGAGAGGAACTCTCACTGTAATCAAAACATATCACCGCTGGATGTCCATTGGCTTGCTTGTCACACTGCATCAGTCATGATTGCTTTCACGGCAGTAATCATCCGTCATGTAAACGTGTGTTTGGTCTGTGGGGCCGCCCGGTGATAACAGGGGAGGAGGAGGGAGGAAGGGGGCTGTAACAGGGTCTCCTGTCTGGGTGAGGGTGTGTTCCCGGTGGCCAGATGGGTCGACGACCGTCAGTCCGAGATAATCCTGATCAGTCGGTGAGATGACAGCGAGTAAGAGCGGGGGACCCGCAGCTTTGTGCGTCAGTGCGCATTGGAGAGGCGATAAATCAAACCACTGCCAGAAAGCGCTGGTGTAGGACGCCATCTCTCTCTCCCTCTCTCTTATCTTTCTCTCTTCCCCTCTCACCCCCTCTCACCCTCGCTTTCTCATCTGCCCTCCACCCCTCTCTCCATGTCTCTCTCGTTTCTCTCTCTTTTCTACCGTCTCTCACCGTCTCCAAAAGCGCTCACTGCTGCTGTTGCTGAACGAGGTTTGTGTTGCACTGTTGAAAGGGACCAAGTGCCTTTTCTCCCTTTCCTCCATTCTCAATAATGCAAAATTAGCCGAAACAACCACTTTGATATGGAAATTGATAACTGTAGCACGGGCACTTCTGTGCGCGCGAACAATATTCTCACGCATCTTTTTACAGCGATCACTGTTACACACTATCTCCCCCATCTCTGCCTGTCTCTCTCAGCAAACACACACACACACACACACACACACACACACACACACTGTGATGATGGCAGTGACTACAAACACACACACGCACACACCCAAACCGCCGCTGCGCACACACAAGCAGCAGCTGCCTCCTCCGTGTTTGGCACCGAGCAACTCCAGCACCACCTCCCTGCTCCGAGCGCATCAGCCCGGGATCTACTGATCTACAGGCATGCGGATCATTCAAGCAACTGTACTGCCCACATGGTTATAAAAAAGAATTAAAAAAACACTGTGAAGCGATGATTACAAAACTGCCCTTTGGCCATCTATTGGGGATGGATGACACTACTAGTCAGTAGGTCGCACTCTCCACTCTTCCTCGTCTCTCTCTTTTCCCAATGTTTTGTTCTACTCATCTTTATTCTACTCTCCTCTGCTCAGCCTCGCTTCTCTGTCTCGCAAGTGTCCGAGGAGTGGACCCTCCCCAACAACGATCCGGGACAGAACATCCGAGCAGTTACAGGAGAACAGGAGCAGGTGCATATTGGCCAAATAAGCACCTTTTGAGCCTACAACAGATCTCCTCGTGATCCACGAACCAGAACCTCTCAACGTGGCAGCATGCGTGTCTCCAGTGCGCACAACACAAATCCCAGTGAACCCACAAGTGCAGAAGCCCCCCCACAACATTGACAGACGAGTCCAGCTCGGACTCAGCACGGCGAGGTTTGCCTTGCCTTACCTTGATCGGGGTCTATAGGTCTGACAAGCAGGAAGAGGCAGCAAGCAGCTTTACGGTCCGTTCTGCAGCGGCTCAGACGAGAACGCCAGATATTATCCCTGGACAGAGGCGGAGGTCCTTGCGTTCCAGCAGAGAGAGAGAGAGAGAGAGAGAGAGAGAGAGAGAGAGAGAGAGTACGCAAGAGGAGGGATGAGAGACAGAGGCGGGCTGATGGAAGAGAGTGAGAGAAAGAGAAGGGTAGTGAGGGAGAGGTGGCGGCTCAGTCTGACAGAGGGGTGATGTTGAATCGGGGCAACAGCCGCTACCGATTTCACATGAGTGACACAAACCTGCAGGATACCCTGAAAGGAAGAACAAAAAGCCTTTTCTTTTTTTTTTTCTTTCCTTTTTTGTCTTCATCCGCGATGAGGGTTTCAAAAATGTCGGGTGTGCATCTTTGAAATGCCAAAGCAAGCCCGATGTAAATATCATAATATTCCCACCAGGGGACTTCACGCATCTGTGATTCTCAGTAGAGTTTCGACCTTGTGTTAATTGTGCTATTTTTATCTCCAGCCACACCACCATAACAGGCCATTGCTGTCTTATATATTATATTTACAGTTTTATATATATTATTTTGACTGTGAAAACTATCTCCGAAATGTTATGTAGAAGTATTATAGCGTTGTTTCTGGCTCAGTCTAATCACAATGTCACTTACAGATGAAAGCGTAGCCTATTACTGGCCACAATCAGTACATATCAAGAATTATGGGAGGGGGAGCTGCAGCCCACTCATATCTCCAGAGGTGGTAATTACGTAATGTTTAGTCTCAGACAGCGTGTGGAGTTCCGGGGAAAACTGGGAAGCCACTTACGCGGTCCCTATATCGTTCCATCACTTGTGCAACTTATTGCCTCCCCATGCAGCGGCGCGCAGCTGCTTTCCAATCTGGGCACGTAGCAACGCGCCTCAAAAGTGCGCGCCCGTGCGAAGGGGCAGGGAGGGAAGCTCTCTCTCTGTGTTTGTCTCTCTCTCTCTCTCACACACACACACACACACACACACACACACACACACACACACACGCACGCACACACACGCACCGAGTGAAAATGGGGAGATCCAACTGTGCCGCTGACGTCATTGGCGGTCAGCAGGAGAGGTATTGATTTGGTCCTGTGTAACGTGGATATGAGTATTTTGGGGCGTGTGTGTGTGTGTGTTTGTTCCTGTTGGCGCTACTGTCCACACACACACACACACACACACACACACACACACACACACATGCTGAGAGAGAGAGAGAGAGAGAAATCAGTAGACCACCCAGACCACCCCTGTCCCTCCTGTTAACCCAATGATGGAGCACCTGACCCTGGCAACACCGACTCCGCATCTTCCTCACTTCTCGTGGTTCTCATCATGAAGCACTCATGTAGCAGCAACGCTTGACTGAATACCATCACATATGTAATCACATGGAGTTAATTATTACTGTGCGGGGGAGTGAATTTCCACTATTGTGGCACTGGGGTAATTTCAACTCCGCATGTTAATACAGAACTCAATTTAAAGAATCAGCTCATCATAATAAAAAAGACATCTTCTTCACTTGCCTGTACTGGTAGCTACACATATACTTTTGGTTTTATTTGTCCAGGTTTTAAGATCTCCACCTCTAACAGTAACCAAGGCTGAATTACAACCATCATACAGGACAACAGCCCCAGGACACCAGATCCCAAGGGGCCTCCAAAAAGCCCTATATTCACTGCATGTAAGTTAGTGTGTGTGTGTGTGTGTGTGTGTGTGTGTGTGTGTGTGTGTGTGTGTGTGTGTGTGTGATATTGTATACTCTTTCAGGTCTGGCATTATTAGCTCAATTTGTGGCCCTGTCTTGCAAAGGGATCCAGTGGATTTAAACTTTAATATTTTAATTTACATTGTTCTCACATGCTGATTAAGTTGAGTTTTATCACAACTAAACAAAGTATATATTATCTATATTCCTGATTAATACTGTTTATATTAATTTGGGTGAACTGACCCTTTAATTCTACAACTCTGAATTTTGGAGATTGGCCGTGTACTGTTTGTTATAGTTTCCCTTGCCTGGTGTTCATATTAATCCATTTCATGTGTTCTTAACTGGTTAACTCATCAGTTCAGATGCACATTTGCCCTCAATTTAAGCCTTTCAAAGTTAAAGGTTACCAAACCTCTGTCCAATAAATGATTTGTATGAGTCTATAGGAATTCTGTACACAAGCACTGATTTGCATGTAACTGGGAAGCATGAAAATAAAACAAGCCAAATAAGTAAATGTTTGTTTTCTTTTCTTTTTTACTATCATTCAGACCAGAGACAAATGTCTGTGACTAAATTATTTTTCTTTAGAATCAGAGTCAAGATTGACTGGATCTCCTCAATGCAAACATCTTAAATATATAATAAAGATGCTCTTGAGTTACAAAACTGTTATTTCCATGAAGTTGATAAGACATTAAATAAAGTAGCACAAAAGCAAATGTTTCAGCTAAGACCATCATCAGCATAAATTGAAGACCATGAAAACATTGAGGCTTACTAGACTCAGTCAGTATATTAGTATATCTTTTGGTCATTCAATGTATTTTCAGAAATGGGTACTAGTAAACAAAAACCAAGTGGTTATTTGACTTTTGTTTTTAAATGCAAAAATTCCACCGTCATGGTTGAAATCACTAGAAAAAAGTAATGAAAAAAAGTCTGTTGTTTTCATATTCTGAGACCAAATGTTGTCATTTACAAGACAAGCGCCAAATGTAGGCTTTGACAGCGTGTTGCTTTTGCCAAGGCTAAAATATCTTTGGAACCATACTCCTGTCATCTGCAGAAATCGTGAGCTGTCATTTGTGACGTTGCTTGAAAGACTTACATTAATAGTAATAATTTCTCACATTATATCATACACCTTGAAGTCAATGAAGTCATGGATTCTTGTTGGAAGTGACATCACCAAATAAGTCCTAATTATGATAAATCTGTTACCGTAATAGAAAATTAAAGGGAAAGTCAGCTCAATATACATTCAAATTTTTGAGTCCTGTTCACAATGACTCTCACAGTTTAGGAAGAGTTATTTTACTCTTCATTTTTTGAGAAAATTAAGAATGGTATAATGTTATTTAAGGTGACTTTCCCTTTAATTTTCTGTTGGGTTTTTTGCAAACTATAGAGAGATTTCTACAGATGACAGGGTTGGTTTGACCATGTCTATCAGAGTAGGGTTCCAATTTTAGCCTGGGCTAGAGCAATCCTGGCCCATTGGCAGAAATTCATTTCTGTTTTCTAGTGATTGTATTTTCAGTGGGGTTTCTTGTTTGTTTTTTTATTGTGCTCATCCTTTTTTGACCATGAAAATGAACACCCTGTATATCAATTTACTTTTTTTTTTTTGGTTGTTGTTGTTTTTTAAATGAAAATCAAATAACCACTCGTTTTTGGTTACTAAAACCCATTTCTGTAAAGAAAATCGAATGACCAAAAGGTACTCTGACCCTGGACGGTGAGTAATGGGCAGTCAGAAGAAGGTTAATGAAAGGCAGATGTCCTCCATAAACTCATCTGCTGTTTTATGGCTAGAATGCCTACAAACATCACCTAAACATTAAAGGACAGTGCAAGACAAAATAGACAGTAAACTACACACACAACTTTAATTTTGTTCAGCACCTGCAGCATTCAGTCGGCTCCTTTCAATGTGTCAGTTTCACTACCTGTTACAGTTTAAACATGGCTTTTATTTGGACCCATTTGTCATGATATATGGACTAATTGTAGTGTAATTGCCTTACATTTGTTTGTTTTAGGTGGGCAATAAGGCTGGAGAGGAGTTTCATGGCCTCTACATTTGTCTAGTGATGAGAGCAATTTCCCAGCACTTCCTGGCTGCTACTGATAAATGAATGCAGAGAGGAGGGGAGGACTCCGGCTCATACAGTCACAGTGAGCTGGTTTATCAAAAAGAAATCCTACATTAAAATGTAACATTCTGATGTAAAAAGAGAATACTGAACAGAAAATATCTTTAGACTAACGGGAATGATGAAAATAAGACCTAATTTTAAAGACACTATCTATGTTTTTTTATATATATTATCCACGGATACTTACAGTGTTTTTTAATCTGTGATGGTCAGTACATGTGCTGTTCAGGGGAGTGTTGTAATGTGGTGATTATTTTCCCAGAATGCCTTTCAAAAACATATAAATCTGGCTTGAAACTGTTGCATTGAGTCTTGCTGTCACGATTGTGATTGTGACAGCAAGAGAGTCAAGACCTGCACTTAATTGCAACGTGATGCTTTATTTTGCTGGAGCTTTTTCAAACTTTCGCTGCTTTAAACTAGCTTCTGGAAATATCTTGAGGCAATGTTACGTCTACATTTGACCAGTGATCCGTAGCAATGACAAATGTACATGCCATTTTTCTTGGAGGTATGTATTGCTGTGTGGAATGACAAGAATGATTGTTTTTTGTGACTTTTTTGTGGCAGATTTTGGGAACTCGTGTGGAAGGTATAGTGCAGGAAGAGGTCATGGTCATGTTGTGTAAAACACACAATGACTGCAATAATATGTAAACATGCGTATATAATATGTAATATAACATAACAACCTGCCTCCTAAGATGTATGTTCATACAACTAATTACTGTTAGCAAATTCAGCCAATGCAGTTTTCATTTGATTTGTTCATTTAACTTTTTCCCCAGTAGTGAGTTTCCTGCTAATTACTATACTAGTGGTTTGTTGCTAACGTGTTGCTCATAGAATAAAACTAATTTAATGTAGTTGTGGCCTGAGTCAGACATTTTTATGCTATAAAATGTCACTTTAACTACTAATGTTAATGATTGTATACATTGTAATCCCCTCTTTCTCATTTCCTGTTCCTCTTAAGCTGTCCTAGCTAATAAAACAAAAAATAGTGTTTTAAAAAGAAAAGAAAAGAAAGAAACCAAAACTTATTTTAAGTTTTTCTTGCTTTATTGTGTAATGTAATTAACTTACGTGAAATAGGTAACATAATTTAACTTACCTACATTATTTGTGATTACGTGATTAAAGTAATGTACTTATTTTAACCCAAACCATGATGTCTTTCTAAACCTGACCAAACTGAACCAGTTTAACAATGTAACCTGACTGCTGTTA